CATCTACAGTTCTCTTAATGTTACAGAGAATTATATAATTTGTCTTGTCCAAGTTTAATGATAATTTATTACGTTAAAACCAACTTTGTATTTTCACAAATTCTGTCTGTACCATCTCTAAAGTTTGTTCTATTTGTTTACTGGAACAAAAGAATGTTGTATCATCAGCAAAAAGTCCCAACACATTGACCAAATTGTTCACATACAAAGTAAATAACTTAGGTTCAAGAATGGAACCCTGCGGCACTCCATGAGATGTTACAAAACTCAGATCTTACTTTTTTTTTCTACATAATGTTTTCTATCTTACAAATTTTGTTTTCAAATCTTGTTTTCAAATCTACATGTTGTTTTCTATCTTCTTCTATCTTCCATTTAGCTTTGGAAAAACAACAAGATTAAAAATCTCTGCATGAATATTTTACTGCTTTCATCCCATGACCTTTATGGAAAAACTATATGAAAAGAATTTTGCACCTATGTAGCATCAGAAACAAACTTTAAAACAAGGATTCTTTGGTGCAGTTGCTCACATTTTAACACATTATAGGGCTGTTAAACATCTTCAGGATTCATTCATTCGTTCATCAAATAGWGAGATCTAAAAAATTTGACTCTTCTGCTTCTGTCGACTCATCAGGTTTGCTTTGATTCCCTGAACCGGASCTTTCCAGTCTTTTGTCAGTGGAGTTTTAAAAAGCAGAAGCAAAGCTTCACCGAGGCGTCGTCTCATTTCTGGTTGTAGTTTCTGGTCCTGCAGACCCGAGGCGRAGCAGGAAGAGCTGATTTTTCTTTTCTCTGGAGTTCATTAAGTCTGCTTTTGTTTGATTATTTCCTCGTCTGGTTTTCAGTCAGGATCTGAATTATTATGTTTTAATTCACAGATTGCGTTGTTCTAACTTAAAACATCTTTTTTATTTGTGTTGAGCTCGTTTTAATTAAGTCCATTGTCTTTTTTTATTTTGAGGAATTCCTTTTCTAATAAGCCGTCCATACATACAACCACACAGGGTTTGTTTATTTCATTGTATTTCTTGCTTTGTGTTGCTGATTAGTCTGTAAATTAGCACATTGTTTGAGTTAAACTCATTCCAGAGGTTTTATTAGAAATAAATATGTTTGTTTTGGACATGAGGTATGTGGTGTAGCAGGTCAGAGATGCTCCAGGGGAGAAATGAAACATGTTTTATGGAGCAGGATGTATTTATTTAGCAGAGCTGAAAGCTATAAACATATAAAACAGGGTCAGGAAGAAGTCTAACATTAGTTTAACAAAGTGTTTATATCTGCTTTTCAGCTTCTGTTGATTTAATTTTTGTATTTTTATCAGCTTCTTTCTGATTTTTATGGTTTTTCTTCTTTCAGCTGTTTTTTTTTGCCATTTAAGCTACTTTTTATCTATTTCAGCTTTTTCTTGCTTTGTCAGCTTCTTTCTGCTCTGTTCACTTTTTCTGCTCATTTATTTTATTTTTAATATTTCTATCTGCTTCTTTTTGCTAATTCAGGCTTTTTATGCTTCTTTGAGATATTTTCTGCAATTTAAGCAACATTTTGGCTATTTTAGCTCATTTTTAGCTTTTTTCAGCTRGTGTCATTAATCAGGTTAAATGTCCTTTTTAACCTGATAAATAAGGTCCTGTTTTGAGTTAACTGATTCAGCTACAGTGGGTGGGTGAGGCTGCTGTGAACAAAGCTTTATGTAGATAAAACTTGTTACAAACATGTGAAGCAGGTCGAGCTCATGTTTACTGTAAAACACTGAAGTTGCCACTGAAACGGAACAAATTYAAACAAGTAAAACTGAATCTTTCTAAAGACCTGATGTATTTACTCTGAAATGATTCAGCTTCTTTTAGGATCACATGAGATTTTTTATAAATATTTAAAATATAAATCTGCACAATAGCTTTTCACAGTAACCTCAGTGTTTTTACCAGTTGACCTTTGACCTGGAAGAGAAGAACGCTGGTTCTCGTAGCTTCAGACTGTCTGTTGGTGTCTCGTTTGTCTCTGTGTCCCTGTGATTGACCTCTGACCTGAACAGAGTCTCTGYTCATCACTGTGTCAAACTAAAGCTTCCTGCAGGAGAAAACTTTGATTTATTAAAGTTTGTGGCTAAAAATCCATCAAATCTGAAGAGTGAGAAAAACAAACAGGCTGGAGGACAGACAAGATATATCATCCATCCATCATCCATTCATCTGTCCGTCCATCCATCCATTATCCATCCATCCATCCATCATCCATCCAATATCCATCCATCCATCCATTCATCTGTCCATCTGTCCATCCATCCATCCATTATCCATCCATCCATCCATCCATCATCCATCCCATATCCATCCATCATCCATTCATCTGTCCGTCCATCCATCCATTATCCATCCATCCATCCATCATCCATCCAATATCCATCCATCATCCATTCATCTGTCCGTCCGTCCATCCATCCATTATCCATCCATCCATCATCCATTCATCTGTCCGTCCATCCATCCATTATCCATCCATCCATCATCCATTATCCATCCATCCATCCATCCATCATCCATCCATCCATCATCCATCCATCCATCCATTATCCACCCATTATCCATCATCCATCCATCCATTATCCATCCCATATCCATCCATCCATCCATTATCCATCCCATATCCATCCATCCATCCATCCATTATCCATCCCATATCCATCCATCCATCCATTATCCATCCATCCATCCATCCATCCATTATCCATCCATCCATCCATCCATCCATCCATCATCCATTATCCATCCATTTTCCATCCATCCATCCATCATCAATCCCATATCTATCCATTATCCATCCCATATCCATCCATCCATCATCCATCCATCCATCATCCATCCATCATCCATCCCATATCCATCCATCCATCCATCCATCCCATATCCATCCATCCCATATCCATCCATCCATCATCCATCCTTTTATCCATCCATCCACCCATCCATCCTTTTATCCATCCATCCATCCATCCATCATTGTTTTTACCCACTTCTTCCTGTCAGGCTCACTGGTACCTTTATCCAGCAGTTCAATAACGAAATTCATTAATAAAATACTGTATTATTGTGTATTATATTGTGATCAATATCAATAGAAAACATTTCCAGTAAAATGTTGATAATTTCACTCAACTCCAGTCCAGAACCACACAGCATAAATGATTGAAATAACACAACAGCTGCTAAGTTGATTTATGAACTTTCATTCTTACGGACAGACTGATAGAAACACATTGATACATTTTTCATTCAGCGGTTTGTTTTTTACAGTTCGCATTTAATTCAAACAACTTTATTGTAAAATCAAACATGAACAGAACAGTTGTTTTCTTCCTGTTTGCTACATTTTTCATCCAGTTGAGACTGAGCAGCAGCAGCAGAAGATGGAGCACCAGCAGATGTTACACACACCAACATTCTCATTAAACTAATGAATACAAACAAGTATTAATTGTCATTTTCTGAAAACATGCATCCCCCTCAGGGTGGCATCATTTGTTCCCCCTTTGCTTCAGTGAAAAGCCATCTCTGCTCATTTTGCAGCCTCGGTGGAAGCGTGGAGTTCCACAATCAGAAACCTTAAATTCACTGAATGCAGCTCAGCTGGGAGCTGATTCAAGGCCTGAATGAAAAACTGACCACTGGTTTGGACAACAGGGGATTKCTTTTGTCTATTTTTTTGGGAAACATTTAAAAATGGATGCACTTTGAATGAAACGACTGAAAGAAAGAAGATAAATCTGCAGTTYGATCTTCAAAGTTTAAGTTTCATCTCGTCGATGTGTCAAAGTCTGTTTGAAGCGACAGTCTTTACGGTTTAGTTGAAGCTTATCAGACTTTCATCAGGTCTGAGCAGCTCCAGGTTCTTTTGGATCAATAATGTTTCTGAGAGATGAAAGAAGGTGGGTTCAGTTAGTTCTGGATTCGGTCTGAATWAAAATGTCCTCTCATTCACCACATGTAGTAGGAAATGTTTGGGTTGCAGTCATGTGACCTGGATGATGTGCGAAATTCAGATGGTGGACAGGAAGTGATTTGCTTTGGTTCAAAACAGTGAAATAGATCACATGCGAGTACGCTCAACGGGCTGAGCACAGACGACTACGAAAACTACGAGTACATTTAGGATCTGATCCATGTTGACTTAGTAAAACAGACTTGTCATATAATCTGGAGGATTTACCAGCATCGAGGCGATTGACAAACTATCTGCTGCAGAGCTCGTGTTATACGATGAGTCAAATGAAAGCTGTCAAAAGCCTCGAAGCCTTTAAATGACAGCTTTTCATTTAAAGGCATTACAGAATGGAATAAGCTTCCAGTAAATCTKAAACTTTCKACTGACCTGAAGGATTTTACTTATAATGTTAAGAATGTGCTATTGAAAAACCAGCAATGTCGACACTGAAATACGTTAATTGTAAACCTTTTATCAGTGATTAATGAGCAGACGTTTAGCATGTAGAACTGTTTTTGCTTATATATTTTATGATTGTGTATAGAGAGTGTAATTAGAATTTATTTCTATGGTCTTTATGACTTTATGCAGTAGTTGTGTCTACAATTTTACGGATTATTGCTCTATATCTTGATTTTAGACTGGATTTTGTTGTTCAGGGACTACAGATGTATGGAGAGCCGTTTTAGCCAAAATTAAATAAATAAATAAATGGGTGAAATAAATAAAAAATGAGTAAAATAAATCAAAAAATGCAGTAATTGTGTCTACAATTTTACGGATTATT